TAAAAAAAATAACAGCTAGAGAAGGTCCAGCGGGATGAAACCCTCTTCATGTCCTGCAGTGACCGATGATGGCACGGCACTTTGCAGGGAGCAGGGGGGAAGAGATTTGGAAACCCAGATCCAGGTCTGTCCACCCATGTTCAGCCTGCGGCAGCCTTTCTTCATGGGGTGGAAAATAAAAACCCTCCAAAAGAAAACAGGACGGCCATCCAAACCCATCCTCACTGCTTGGTGGGTGCTGAGGGGCAGTTTTGCTGCCTGGCTGTGATTTGCCCCATAGTCTGCATCCAGCAGGACCTTGGGGTTTGCTCCCTTCATTGGCTCAGCATTGATACGGCGATCCCTGTGTAGGAAAGAAGCAGCAAACAACAGTGCAAGTTAACCAGCAAATTAATCTTCCCTGGTGAGAGCTTGAACGAGTTTGCTGGGACAAGGCTGGTGATGGTGGAGGTTTCCCGCACAGCATCCTTCTCCCTTCCCTTCCCTCATCTGGGCTTTGAACCCAGCCCTGAAACAGGTTTCTGGGAGCTGGACCATCTCTGACTCTGCACGGCCAGGGTAGAGTGAGGTATAGCGGGGTCCTACCTCGTTAGGGAGGTTGGTACTGTCTTTTCCCTTGAGGAGCTAACGAAGGGGCTCCTTGGATCTGGAAGAGGGGAAGGACTGAGTAGAAAACCATTTTTCAACACTTCTGTAGGAAAAATGTAATTTCCTCTGGCATTTTCCTCCTCCTGCTTCACCTGCTGCTAGGCAATTTAGGTTTGGGGTTTTTAACTAGAAATAGAGGCTCTGTCTGTCCGTCTGTCCCTCTAAAGCTTGGACACAGCTTCTTGCAAATGGCATTTTGCTATATCCACAAATAAGCACTGATGGCAACTCTGCTGCTTTCAGAGTAAAATAAATATTCCCACTGAATCCTCACCTCCCTTTGTCCAGCTGAAGGCTTTTTCAGCGTGTTTATTTCCTCTGAGCTCCATGGTGCTCTTGAATGCATATAAAGCGTTACCGCTGACGGTGGGGAATTTCACCATGGCCCTTAATGGTATATTTGCATAGAGCTGTCGAAGCCCAGGCACTCCTGGACATCAGTGCACAGGGGGCTCCAGCGGTTAGCACCTCAGTCCTCCATCGGGAAAGAAATGCGTGTTAAGATAAGAAAGAAGAAGAAAATATCAACCCTGTAGGTACTCCATAAAATTAAACTTCAGATCCGTGCTGCTGTTGCCGCGCTGTATTGCTGTAGTCTTGGCAGCAGAACAAGACCGTTACTGTAGAAGTAGGCTGTTAAAATTCGCGTTGTGCTCAGGTTAAACCGTCTTTCAAGTTTATCTGCCTGAACCTCACTGGTTTAGATTTGCAGCATTGGGACATCATCAGTATAGCTTGTATTATGGTCGTGTCAGGAAGCTCCTTAGTGCGGGGCAAACACATGGCAAGAAATAGCCCCTGCACCACGGCACCTTTAGGGAGAAGAGGGGAAAAAACGGGGCACCCAGCGATGAAGTGACGTTCTCAAGGTTATCCTGACTGTCAGTGGCAGAGCATGGAGCTGAATCCTGGAGTACCCTGAGACCCAGCGCAGGGTCGTTTCCACTGTGTTGTCTCCTGGCGTTGGGTTAGGAAATCTGCGAGATGCTTATTTTGGTTTAATGTGAGAGATAATCCAGCGATAAGGTGAGGAGGAGCGGTATAAACCTCTGTCTTGTTCCAGCTAACAGACTAACATGCTCTGGGGCTGGCATCTGGTAGCAATAAATTATTTGCAGGTTTCCCTTCAGATTGCTTTGTTTTCCATTCAGAGTTAAAATAATAAGAATGAAATCCAGATAGCTTCTCAGCCTGGCTATTATGCGAACAAGAGAGAGAACAAATGAAAATACCCCGTCAGTCTCCAAGGCTGCAAACGTGCACTGTGTGACCTGAAATTGCGCGTTAAAACAATCCGTCTAGAGGGCTTCTTGCTGAGGAGGCAAACAATAAAGGACAGTGGTTTCATGTAACCTTCATGCATCTGAGCCCGATAACCACGGAGGCTCCAGAAGCACAGTAGTGGCCACGTCAGTTAATTTAAGTTGCCTGGGAGGAGCAGGGGCTGAGCTCAGAAATGGATCTTTTTCCTGGTGTTTTTGCACTTTGGCGGGAAATGAAGATTTTTGAGGATGTTGCCACTGTTTGATTTGAACTGAGAAAAGGAGCCTGATGGTAGGAAACAAAGCCTGGGTGTGCAGAGCCCACACCATCCCTCTGGTGCTGTAAGCGAAACATTTTAAATACGCAGCGGTGGAGCTGTGTGAAGTTCTCTAACCAAGTAATGGGGTCTTCCCTGTGGGGGAAAAACCCAATAATTTTATTTATTTATTTATTTATTTATTTATCTATTTTTTAAAAAGGCTGCTTTGCACAGTAGGCCAGGCAAGGCGGCCTATTTGCCTTTTCCATCCTTTGGTCCTCAGCAAGGTTGGGTCTGTCCCTACCTTAGGTGGCTCCTGTCCCCTTTGTCCATGCGGTGACCGAGTGTGCTCCCATCTTCCCAGGGCATTTGATCCTGGCTTGAAAGAGGTGTCGAAGGCAATGGGAGGAATTGCTTTATGAGGTGCTATGGTGTAGTGAGGAGCCTGGATGTTAGCTCAGACAAGATACCTAATTTTTTTGAAGACGAATGTGACATGAAATTAGATCTCCCCCATTTATAGGCAAGCAGCTTGTCCTTGAAGGGCAGGTTTAAAAAAACCTGAAGTTTTGCTCTGCTTTTCCCCCACTGTCCCTGCAGGGTCCTAGCCCTTCCTCTTTTTTGGCCAGCACTGGCACGGTGCAGGCGGTGCCTGTTATGCTTCCCGCAGCCTTCCCTCCTCTGTTGCTTTGAATAATTTATCTGCAGGAAACCCATATTGCCAAGGCACCAGCCCAACACGTGCCAGTTCCCTGGGAAAACTGTCAAAAAAAAAAAAAAAAAAAAAAGAAAAAGAAAGAAAGAAAAAGCCCTCTCTGAAATTCATTTTGGTTGGAGGCAGGCTCCCAGCAATCAAACGTATTAGTCGTATTGTCGGCGTGCGGCGGCATTAGCTAGCTCGCTCAGCGCACGCCGACGTTGAAAGGCTCGTAAATGTAATGAAGTCCCTTTGACACCTGCTCCTCTCCACACTTTAAACGTGAGCCATTGGTCTGCAGGGAACCGGGGCTTTAAAAACAGAAATTATAGTAATTGTCTGCTGTGTTATTGGGAAGATTGTAATAAACGTGGAGCACAACACCGCGGTGCCACGAGCTGAATGCTGACAGGACGCATAAATCGCTCCAGGTTTTGATTTTTTTTTTTCCCCCCTCCCCCCCTCCTCCGGTCTCCCCATCTAACAAATGACATAAATCATTGCGTGTTAACACTGCGTTTCCAGAGGGCGGCAGTGGGAGGGAGAGAGGCAATCGGGGAAATTTCATCCCTCCCCTTTGAGGTGTTTTCAGCTGCGGTGCCCCATCGGCTGGGCACCTCCACCCGCTCTCCCTTCCTGCCCAACAGCCTCCCTCCCTCCTCACCACCCCCGAACCTCAAGGGGGACAAGAAAGGCCCAAACCAAGCAGTGCATCCTCTGAAGGTGATGGGTGAGGGCCCCTGGCCCCTTCTGCTGGGGACTGTGAGCAGCAGCCATCAAGAAAGAGTTTCAAGGTGCGCATGGGGATGCAGTGGCACATATCATGCGTATGTCATCCCCACCGCCAGCAGAGAAGCACGTGCTCTGCACGCGTGTCCCTTCCTGCTCCTCGACCAGGAGGAGTAGCTGCTCGTGTCCCCCCTTCTTTCGGGGGTGCCAGAGGGTTAGCTGTGGAGCCTCCTCATTTTGGGATGGCACGGGAGCTGGTTGCATCCCTCTCCAATTGGGACTTGTAGAGGACGCTCCAAAGAGAATTTGTTTTTATTATGTGAAATCCCACTTGGAAATGGTCCTTTCCCCCCCCCTTTTTCTCTCTCCTCCTTGTTATCCCAGGAGGAAATGTCCCAGACGGTAACACTGCAATAAAACCCGAATCATCTTGTCCCCAGCCTACCAGGCTACGATCCAGCTCCCTGCCCACACCCCGATCCTGCGTAACCCCCTTGGCATTTGCTGCCAAATGCACCTGCCTGCAGAGGGAGCATCTGTGTCAAGGGCGAGATGTAAAACCGGCTCTTTGACCACTTCAGCAACTCCACTGACAAGTCTCATGAAATCCCATTTCTATTATTCTCGCCATACCTTCTTGCCCCACCGTGCAGGTCCCCTGGTTTCGCTACTCCCACCTCCAGGCACAGCCTGATTTCAAAGCTCCCCCCTGACGCCAGGGCGCGGGTGCGGAGCCCACGCTGCACCCCAGAGGTGGCTGCACTTCAGCCTTCCGCTACCTTGTGGCATGTGGTGATGTTTAATTAATATCAAGCACTTTGAAGTCCCCAATGTTACTTATTCATGCCCGTATTCCCTGCAGACCCTCCTGTTTGATGTCCATGTTGCAGGGGTTATTTAGATGCAACCCTCTTTGTGTCAAATTTAAGCAGAGAGGAGAGGTTGCTCTTTAGGGCACTACATGAAAAGTTGCCCTTCCCGGGCACGAGATCAGCTTGGCTGCGTATTCAGAGATTTCTGAATGTGTGCCAGCTACTCACCTAGGTGCTCACAGCACTTCTGTGGTGTCAGTCCAGAGAAATCAGTTCTGCCCTTAACAAGGGATATTTCAGACGCAGCTGTTTTCCACCACGGGCCATCACATCTGGGTGTTTGTCCCTCTGGGGCGCCCGAGCAGCAGAGAGTCCTTGTTGTGTCCCAGGACGTGGAAATTAATTTAAGGCTGCTGAATTTGGGCACTGTGGGTTGAACAACAAAAGCAATGCAATGCCTCTGTCTCAAAAACGTGGGAAAGCTTTCCCTGCCGCCCAGGTATTTACACAGAGCAACAACCACATGCGAGATTGTCCTTTAACAATACTTTTCTTGTTATCTTTCAACAATTATCTTTTCTTTCCATTCCAGATGAGTTTAGAAAATGACGATAAGAGAGCACGCACGCGATCGAAGTCTATCAGAGGTGAGCAGCTGGTTATCCCGCAGCACGGGGATGTACAGACCTGAGCTCCCTGCGCTTTGCTTGTTCCAAATAGGCTTTGATTTTTCAGGTCCAGGCTTAACTCTTTAAGTTATGCTCACTGCCCCCCCCTCCAACCCCACCGAAATTTGTCTACAAACCTGGAAAACTCCCGACCACAAACCTTTACAGGTCCTCATAATATTTAACACTCATCCCCTACACCCAGGAGAAGAAGAAAAAAAAAAAAAAAAAAAGAAAAAAAA